GCCACTCAGAGCTCGGAATGTTCATGTGGGAGGTGGGGCGGGCTCTGGCCTTGACCTGGCGTTTGGATGGTGGCGTCATCTGGGAGCATGAACTCCCTAGGTTCTGGCGGGGTCTCTAGGCTGGGTCTCTGGCCACCCAGGCCCCTTTCCACCCACCTAACCTCTAGCAGCCCCCAGCCTTGGGCTCAGCACCCCTCTCTGTGCTTCAGGGACCCCTCTCGGCACCCCTGCCCCTCTGGCACCCCTGGGATTTTCCCCTTTGCGGGCATCCTGGGCACCCTGAGTGTGCCCTTGGCCAGTCAGCAGGCCTGGTGGGCTGAGTCCAGGGCTGCTAGCTCTCCTGTTGGCCTCCAGTGGAGATGGCACAGGGTCCTGCCTGCTGGTGGCCAAGGGCCGGGGCAGTGCCGGGTCCGGTCTTTGCGGGTGCAGGAGTGCGGTCAGCTGTATGCGCAGTTGGAGCCCACCTCCAGGCCCTCCTGCCTCTTCCGCGGAAAACGTTTGTGTCTCCTCTGTGGCCTGGCAGCAGCCATGTTCCCCCAGGTCTTCCCCATGAGGGGCCTCTGTCCTTTGGAAGATCACTCCTGGGGCGTCGAGCGTCTAAGCCAGGGCTCGGGCAGGAGAGGCTCTTAATTGTTTCTGAGTCACGGCGCTTTTGTTGTGTTTCAAGAGAACAGCTTGTCAAAACAAGACGCCAGCCGGACTGAGGTGGTTTCTAAGAAGGAGCTTCACAGCTGTTTCCCACTTGTCATCTTTATGAGCAGAAAACGTGAAGTGTGTTTACAACCTAGCTTTGCACATTGTCAGATTTTTCCCAGCACCCTCCAGAAGTGCAAAAGCCCAGCTTCCTCGCCTCAGGCTGTCCTGGGCGTCTGGAGAGCATTCACTCTCCCAGGCCAAGCCTGCCTGTCCCACTACAGCGGCCTGGCCCATCTCCTCTAATGGAGGAGTGGCCCCGGACGCATATCCTCCCTATGTTGGTGGGAGCAGTGGCAGGAGCCGTGGCAGCGAGCAGGACAGGCGGCTGTCTCTTCACCCAGGGACCCTGTCACCAGGATTCGCATGTCCTGCTGGCTTTGGGGATGGGCCATGTTCCATGGTGGGTCTCCCTGTGGACACATTTGGGGGCCCTCGAGCATCTCTGGGCAGCCTGACAGAGTCCGGAGATGTCTCTCCACCGCTCACTCTGACCTGGAGAGTTGAATGGGGCCTTGGCTGCTGCTTGGGCCTGTGTGTTGAGGGCTCAGTGCAGGTTGGGTCCAGGATGTGGCTTGGAGCAGCAGTTCCCCTCCCCTGGAGCCGGCGGTCTCTGGGTAGGGGCAGGTCTTGGGGCTTAGGCCGAGATGCCTCTCCTAGGTGGTGGGCACATCAAAGAGGTCATCGTGGGTGCTGAGGCGGAGCCGGGGGACAGTGAGATGGCCGAGGCCCCGGGCAGCCCCCACCAGCAGGGACTGGGGCTCGCAGGGGAGGGCGAGCCGGCCCAGGTGAAGCTACTGGTGAACAAGGATGGCCGCTATGTGTGTGCACTGTGCCACAAGACCTTCAAGACGGTGAGCCGGTGTGTGGGGAGCCAGTGTGTGGGCGGCAGGGCCCCTCCTGTTCCCCTAGGAGGGCCCTGAGCTGCTACGCCCTCCCCCACAGGGCAGCATCCTCAAGGCCCACATGGTCACTCACAGCAGCCGCAAGGACCACGAGTGCAAGCTCTGTGGGGCCTCCTTCCGCACCAAGGGCTCACTCATCCGGCACCACCGGCGGCATACGGGTGAGCTGGCTGCACCTTGGGCTGGAGCCCTGTAGCACCCCGATGGCTGGCCCTGGGGTGCCCCAGCCTCGCATTCCCCAGCTTTGGGGGATGAGGCAGGGTCCCCTGCCTGTCTTCACCTTGTCACCTTGTCGCCAGCCTGCTGGGGCTGCCTGAGGCTGACTAGGTTCTCTCTGCAGACGAGCGCCCCTACAAGTGCTCCAAGTGTGGGAAGAGCTTCCGGGAGTCGGGCGCGCTGACCCGGCACCTCAAGTCTCTCACCCCCTGCACGGAGAAAATCCGCTTCAGTGTGAGCAAGGATGTGGTTGTCAGCAAAGAGGATGCACCTGCAGGTCAGCATGATGCGGGCAGCTGCCTGGTCCCGGGGACTGGCTGTGGACCCAGCCACCACTGGGGTGTGTGAGGGAGCTTCACTCCCTCACTCTACTTTGAAGGGTCTGGAGCTGGAGCTGCCACCTTGGGGACAGTCACATCATCATCGGTGACAGGCGAGCCCATAGAGACTTCGCCTGTGATTCACCTGGTGACAGATGCCAAGGGCACCGTCATCCACGAAGTCCACGTCCAGATGCAGGAGCTGCCCCTGGGCATGAAAACCCTGGCCCCGGAGGTGTGGGCGACGGGGAGCCCTGGAGGGCCGCTCTGTCTTCTGCCTGCTCGGTGCCAGTCTTTGTTCTGAGCACTGGCTCCAGGGGTCTGGGCCAGGCAGGCGAGGGCTGGAAGAGCAGGGCCGGTGGGAGCACCATGGGGGTCTGAGGGTTTGCACAAGGCTCCTGGCATGGGTCTGCCCCATGGGGTGGGTGCTGGATGCCAGGCTGCCTGGCCAGCCTCCTCTCTCTGCCTCCCCTGCAGCCCCCCGTCTCCCAGGAGCTCCCCTGCTCCAGTGAGGGCAGCCGAGAGAACCTGCTGCACCAGGCCATGCAGAACTCCGGCATCGTCCTTGAGCGCACCGCTGGGGAGGAGGGTGCCCTGGAGCCAGCCCCTGCTGCTGGGTCCAGTCCCCAGCCCCTGGCAGAGGCAGCCCCGCAGCTGCCGGTACTGGAAGTGCAGCCGCTAGAGACAGTAGGTGCCAGCATCACCTGCAGGCTCCTCTCAGGGCTGGATCCCGGGGGCTGTCCCCATGCTGGCCTTGGCACTCCCTGAAGTGGCTTTCTGCAGTGACTTTGTCCATTGATCTGTTTACTGCCTTCCCTGGAGCCACGAGGGAGCCTGCCAGGGTGGGGCCCATGGTTGTGTTCCTGGCACTGCCAGGGCACAGCCTGCCCCAGGTGCTGGAGGCCTTCCTGTGGTTCCCCAGCAGGTGGCCAGCGAGGCCTCAGCGGTGCCCAGGACCCACCCATGTCCTCAGTGCAGTGAGACCTTCCCGACAGCAGCCACCCTGGAGGCCCACAAGAGGGGCCACACCGGTGGGTGATGGGTGGGTGTGTGGCCCACAGCGGTGGATGGGCTATAGGTGACCGGGGTGCCTTTGGATGTCCAGGGTGGGTCCATAGACAGCAGGGAGCCAGGGGAGCTGTGGGCAGGTGGCAGGTGGCCTGGAGGGCCTGCCGGTGATGGGCCTGGCCTGATGTGTGTGGCTGCAGGGCCGAGGCCGTTTGCCTGTGTGCAGTGTGGCAAGGCCTTCCCCAAGGCCTACCTGCTCAAGAAGCACCAGGAGGTGCATGTGCGTGAGCGCCGCTTCCGCTGTGGCGACTGCGGGAAGCTCTACAAGACCATCGCCCATGTGCGCGGCCACCGGCGCGTCCACTCAGACGAGCGGCCATACCCTTGTCCCGAGTGTGGCAAGCGCTACAAGACTAAGGTAGGCCTCTGGCCTCAGGAGCCTGGCACCTGACCCCCCATCCTGCTCCCTGGCCCTGGCCCCGGTGCACCCCTTTCCCTGCCTCCACCGTGCTCAGTCTTGACCCAGCCCCTCCCTTGGGCCAGAAGTGGGAGGGGAGAGCTGTAGTCTGTTGTGGCCCAGGCCAGGCTGGCACTGACAGGTGTCTCCACAGAACGCACAGCAGGTGCACTTCCGGACACATCTGGAGGAGAAGCCGCATGTGTGCCAGTTCTGCAGCCGTGGCTTCCGAGAGAAGGGCTCGCTGGTGCGGCACGTGCGACACCACACAGGCGAGAAGCCATTCAAGTGCTACAAGTGCGGCCGTGGCTTTGCTGAGCACGGCACGCTGAACCGGCACCTGCGCACCAAAGGTCTGGGCCTGTGGAGGCGGGAGGAGGAGGGGAGGGGGCTGGGGCTCGCCAAGCCCTGACTGAGTCCCCACCCGCAGGGGGCTGCCTGCTGGAGGTGGAGGAGTTGCTGGTGTCTGAGGAGAGCCCCGCGGCAGCCACCACCGTCCTCGCGGAGGACCCGCACACGGTGTTGGTGGAGTTCTCGTCCGTGGTAGCCGACACCCAGGAGTATATCATTGAGGTGGGTGTGGGGCCCTGAGGCCAGGATGGGACCCAGGGGCAACCAAAGCTGACCTCTATCCTTCTGCCCATCTGCCCAGGCCACTGCGGATGATGCGGAGACCAGTGAGGCCACGGAGATCATCGAGGGCACCCAGACGGAGGTGAGGGGTGGGGCGGGCGGGGGCAGGGAGGCTCCCTGGCGCAGCCGCTTTCGCTGAGCCGTGGCCCCGCAGGTGGACAGCCACATCATGAAGGTGGTGCAGCAGATTGTGCACCAGGCCAGCGCCGGCCACCAGATCATTGTGCAGAATGTCACCATGGATGAGGAGACAGCGCTGGGCCCAGAGGCGGCTGCTGCCGACACCATCACCATCGCAACCCCCGAGAGCCTGACAGAGCAGGTGGCCATGACACTGGCCTCAGCCATCAGCGAGGGCACTGTGCTTGCCACCCGGGCAGGGGCGAGTGGCACTGAACAGGCCACTGTGACCATGGTGTCATCAGAGGACATCGAGATCCTGGAGCATGCAGGCGAGCTGGTCATCTCCTCACCAGAGGGCCAGCTGGAGGTGCAGACGGTCATCGTCTAGCATGAGGTCTGCGGGGTCCTGGCCGGCCAGGGACAGGGCAGAGGACCTGAGTGCCCCGCCCACGCCTGCCTGGCAGAGAAGAAGGCACAGAATGGAGGCGCCCCAAGATGGGCAGTGTACATAAGAGTTTCTTGTTGCTTTCCAATAAAACATGAGAACCTGCAGCTTGTGATGTTGTGGCAGTGGCAGCCTCCATGGATGGTGCCACCACCTTTGCCCAGGTCCCGGCAGCAGCACCTGCCTCCCAGGCCACCCCTAGACTCACGTGCCTGGCCGCCCTGCCCAGGGGCTCCCGCCAGCCCTGGCGGCGCCTTGGTGGCGCGTGGGTGTCATTGGCATGTTGACCAACAGCCTCCTGCCCTGCCCAGCTGGAGCTGTGCCCCCAGCTGCACTGCCTGAGGCCTGTGGGTAGGTGGGAGGACCAGGGGCGGGGACAGGGAGATCTGGGAGCCTTGGCCTCCACCACAGGGTGAGCAGGTGGAGCAGCAGGAGATGCTGGGCAAGGAGTGTGGCTGGGCCTTCCTGTGCTGCCTTCCTTTCCCTGAAGGGATTCTGCTCAGGGAGAGAGTCTAGGCGACCTAGTTTCTAGGGGTGGGGACAAGAACAGCCTCACCGGGATGTGGCTGACCGTCTACCTCCATCCTAGGGGGCTGGCAGGGGCTTCTGGGATGGTTTTGGGACAGGCCTGGGGCACCAGAAGGGGCTCAGGCAGGTCTCCCACCCCTTACCCTGGGGGTCTCCACGGGAATGAAAGCCAAGAGTTCATCAGGCACCCAGCTTGGTCGAGGGGGCGGGACCCAGCGCAGCCCGGCCCCTCCCTGGACCAGGACCTCAAATACCGGCCCCTGTCCTGGTGCCAGAGCTGCTGCTGGAGGGAGTCAGTGCAGTCCTGTGTCAGACACGCCCGCAGCCTGGACCCGGGATCCCCATTTCCCTAGAACCCCTGAGCCTCGGGCCTCCGCACCCACATCCAAGGTGAGTCTCTCCGCTGGCTGTGCTGGGGCTGGATGGGTCGGACCCTCTATTCCGGCTGCAGCTTCCCGCGCAGTGAGAAGGCAGCGGTCCCTGAGAGCCCAGCAGTGCCCTGGGAGCCTGCAGAGCGCAGGGGCGGATTCTGCGTCGCACTGGCCGTCACGGGGCGGCCGCGGAGGAGAGGGGTGGGTCGGTGGGTCTGACAACAGGTCTGCGTAGGCGGCCGCTTCTGTCCCTCCCAGCCCCTCGCTCCGCGCAATGAGCGGGCCCCGGGCCCTGCTGGCCGCGCTCTGGGCGCTGGAAGCCGCCAGGGCCACGGCGCTTCGCATCGGAGCCTTCAACATCCAGAGCTTCGGCGACAGCAAAGTGTCGGACCCGGCTTGCGGCAGCATCATCGCGAAGGTGGGGCCCCGGCCGGGGCGGGGTGGGGCGGCGTTTGGGGGTGCTGACCGCGCTGACCCCGCACCCGCGACTCCTCCCCAGATCCTGGCGGGTTATGACCTCGCGCTGGTGCAGGAGGTGCGAGACCCAGACCTCAGCGCCGTGTCCACGCTCATGGAGCAGATCAACAGGTGTGGTGGGCAGGGCCCCTCGTCTCGACCCCCGACCGGGATCTCGCCCCGGCGTGGCGCCCTGACCCTGAGCGGGCCCCTGTCTCTGCAGGGTGTCCGAGCACGAGTACAGCTTTGTTAGCAGCCAGCCCCTGGGCCGGGACCAGTATAAGGAGATGTACCTGTTCGTGTACAGGTGAGGGGCGGACCGCAGTGAGGGGCGCGCGGGGCCGCAGGTGGGAGGCTCAGCGCGTCCCCCCCATCTCCTAGGAAGGACGCGGTGGCTGTCGTGGATACATACCAGTACCCGGACCCCGAGGACGTCTTCAGCCGCGAGCCCTTCGTGGTCAAGTTCTCGGCCCCCGGCTCAGGTGAGCGGGCCCCGCCCCTCCCCTGCCGCCGGCCCGCCCCTCCCCTTCCGCCGGGACCTGACGCCCGACCCCTTCCTGCAGCAGCGCAGAAGCTGGTGCTGATCCCGCTGCACGCGGCGCCGCATCAAGCCGTGGCGGAGATCGACGCGCTCTACGACGTGTACCTGGACGTGATCGACAAGTGGGGCACCGACGTAAGCCCACCCCTCGGTCCCGGGGTCCCTGCAGGCGCGCCCCGGAGGTCTGGGCCATGAGGGCGGGACCTCGACGGCTCCTGGGGCGGCTCAGACTCGGCTCCGCGGCGCCCGCAGGACATGCTGTTCCTGGGGGACTTCAACGCCGACTGCAGCTATGTGCGGGCGCAGGACTGGGCTGCCATCCGCCTGAGAAGCAGTGAGGTCTTCAAGTGGCTCATCCCTGACAGCGCCGACACCACGGTGGGTAACTCAGATTGCGCCTACGACCGCATCGTGGCCTGCGGCGCCCGCCTGCGCCGAAGCCTGAAGCCCCAGTCGGCCACTGTGCACGACTTCCAGGAGGAATTCGGCCTGGACCAGACTCAGGCGAGTGGGCCGTGGGGCGGCGCTGGTCCTGGGTCCCCATCGCCCGGGCGCACGCAGGCAGCAGGGAGGGGCCAGCACCCAAGGGGGGGCCACCTCAGCTCCCCTCCTTGCACCAGGGATTATTTCCAAGGACCCTGAGAGCCTGGCCCACCCCATGTGGAGCTCCGGGCAGGCAGGGTACCTTGCCTTTCCCTCAAAGGGCCAATGGTGACACCCTCTGCCCTGGCCCCTGCCCCACCGCAGGCAGCAGCAAGGGTGGGCACCTAGGCCTCACCGCCCCTTTCTGCAGAGGCAGTGGCTTGTGGACACCCAGTGGGCCCATCCTGGTGGCTGGGGTCCACTTTTCCCCTGAGGCTCTTTCTCTTTCCCCAGGCTCTCGCCATCAGCGACCACTTTCCGGTGGAGGTGACCCTCAAGTCCCACAGATGACTCGAGGCCTGGCTAGGGCATGCCACCTGCAGACCCTGGCCCTGAGGAATGGCCCCACAGTGGCCCCTTCAGGGTAGCAGCCACCCTTCAGTGAGGCCCCAAGGCAGAGTCGGCTGGGCGTGGACCAGGGGCCATGGACACGTAATGGGCTGCCCTGCAACTCCATTCCCCATCTGTGAGACGGGCTGCATCCAGCGACCTCAGGGGGTGTTGTGAGCCCCATGAGGGGCACAGAGGGCACTGCCTGGCAAATGTCTGCTCAATAAATGAGCCGCTCCCAGCCGGGCCCCACAGCTTGGCTCCCAGGCCTCTGTCCTTCCTAGGGACCTAGCCTCAGCTCCTCAGGGGCAGCCCCGCTTCCCTGAGGAAATGCAGCTCAGGGAGGCAGGCTCTGGGCCATGTCCTGGGCTGCCCATCCCGTGTCCTGGTGGGACTTGGCCACCCCCAGACCCTGTTTGCTCCAGAAGGCAGCTCAGGGACCCTCCTTGCTTATCCTCTGTGCAAACTACAAATGCTCTCAGGAGGCTGTACTGTGAGCACAGCTGGGACAGGGATGGCGCCAACACATCAGCCTCCTGGGCCCTTGGGGGGTCTCAGAATAGCTCTCCCCAGGCCCACCCCGCAGCCCCCATTCCAGGGCCCTGCGGGGAGCCCCCAGGCACTTGTCTCAGGGGCCCGGTCTCACCCAGCACTGCAAGGGGAGACTGGCCCCAGTCAGTCAGCAGTCCTGGAGCTTTTGGGGAGCCTGAGAGCAGTAGGTGGGCTGGACTCCTCCCTGCCGAGGTAGGTGGCTTGGGACTAAGGTCCCATGCAAAGAACTGCACAGCTCGCTATGGCTCAGCCCTTCAAGTTTGCTGCCCTGTGCCCTGGGCAAGGCCACCACATTAGGATTGGGAACAGGCAGGCCCATGGGTCCACTGGGTCACTGACGGGAGCCCGATGAGGTTTCTGGTTTTTGAAACATCACATCTTAGCAAGGTGTGGGAACTTGGTCTGAATTGCATGGGAGGAAAAACCTTTGTTTCAAGGATTTGGATGAGTTTGGTTCTTGCAAAATCCTTCTTAAGGGGCATTTGGAACCCTGGCAGCACAGCTGCCTCCAGAGTCCCACTCCCGCCGGCTCAGGATCCCCCAGTTGCTCTGATTGACCGTCCACTCCCTTCATCCTGATGAGTAAGGGCAGTGGCCAAAAGGCTTTTCTCTGGGGAGTCCTGTGTGGGTCATGGGGGCCAAGACCACCTGGCCTCACACCTAAGAGCAGGCAGTCCAAAGCCGGAATGGACGACCAGGGACTTGATTTACGATTCTGCCTTGGGAACGGAGACATTCAGTGGCGACCTCACCAGGTCCAGAATGGCGCCCCCTGCCAGTCATAATCCCAAGTCAAAAGGCTGCCCTCAACTCCCCTTGCCTGCTGGGCACAGGCACCCATGTGTGTTTGTGTGTGGTTGGGTCTTGGGCCACCGGGCTACGAGGAACAGGAACTTCTATGTAAAATCAGCCAAATGAAACGCTGGCAGTACTTTTAAGTTGAAAAATGCCTTGTTTAAGACCTCCCTGGGACCCAGAGGGGCACGCGTGGCTGTAAGTCTGTGGCAGCCCAGCCGTTAGCCTTTCTTTTCTTTGAGCCTCTCGAAGTACAGCTGCAGGGACTTCTGGATGGAGTCTTTGGAGATGAAGCTGACGAAGTTCTGCACGTCCGCATCACGCTGAGTGATCAGGCGGCTGGCTGTAGCCTTTCGCATCATGGCCTTCGTCAGCTGTCGAGCGTGGTCTAAAGAAAATGGGACCTACCACTGAAATCCCGCTTTCAGGGGCAGTGGGGTGACTCCCAACTTACATTTATTTATTTTTTTTGAGATGGAGTCTTGCTCTGTTGCCCAGGCTGCAGTGGTGGGATCTCAACTCACTGCAACCTCCGCCTCCTGGGTTCAAGTGATTCTCCTGTGTCAGCCTCCCGAGTAGCTGGGATTACAGGTGTGCGCCACCACACCCAGCTAATTTTGTATTCTTAGTAGAGATGGGGTTTCCCCATGTTGGCCAGGCTGGTCCCGAACTCCCGAGCTCAGGTGATCCGCCCATCTCGGCCTCCCAAAGTGCTGGGATTACAGGTGTGAGCCACCGTGCCCGGCCACTTAACGTGTTATTTTCACTCAATTATATTATGAAGAATATTTCCATGGTGCAGGAGGCTGAGGCAGGAGAATGGCGTGAACCCAGGAGGTGGAGGTTGCAGTGAGCTGAGATTGCGCCACTGTACTCCAGCCTGAGCGATGAGTGAGACTCTGCCTCAAAAAAAAAAAAGAAAAAAAATTTTTTTCCATGGCACTGAATATTCTCTTACAGGACAGGAAATGGCAGAACAGCCTTCAGTTACTTGTATCAGGGTTGGTAAATCTGGCTTCCCAAGGCCCTGAAGCTATGAATGGTTTTTACTTTTTTTGAGACCAAATCTGACTCTGTCACCCAGGCTGGAGTGCAGTGGCATGATCTTGGCTCACTGCAACCTCAGCCTTCCAGGTTCAAGTGCTTCTCTGGCCTCAGCCTTCCCAAGTAGGTGGGATTACAGGCACCTGCCCCCACACCTGGCTAATTTTTGTATTTTTAGTAGAGACGGGGTTTCGCCATGTTGGCCAGGCTGGTCTCAAACTCCTGACCTCAGGTGATCCACCCACCTTGGCATCTCAAAGTGGTCGGATTATAGGCCTGAGCCACTGTGCTGGGCTGGTTTTTACATTTTTGAATAGCTGAAAATCAAAAGGTTAGTATTTTGTGACAAGTGAAAATTATGTGAAACTCAAATTTCAATGTCCATAAATCTTTTTTTTTTTTGAGATGGAGTCTTGCTCTGTCACCCAGGCTGGAGTACAGTGGCATGATCTTGGCTCACCGCAACCTCTGCCTCCCAAGTTCAAGCGATTCTCCTGCCTCAGCCTCCCAGTAGCGGGAACGACAGGAAGCCTGCAACCACGCCCGACTGATTTTTGTATTTTTAGTAGAGACGGGGTTTCACTGTGTTAGCCAGGATGGCCTCAATCTCCTGACCTCGTGATGTGCCCGCCTCAGCCTCCCAAAGTGCTGGGATTACAGGCGTGAGCCACCATTCCTGGCCCATTTTTGTATTTTTAGTAGAGATGGGGTTTCACCATGTTGGCCAGGCTGGTCTCGAACTCCTGATCTCAAGTGATCTGCCTGCCTCAGCCTCCCAAAGTGCTGAGATTACAGGTGTGAGCCACTGCGCCTGGCCCAGTGTCCATAAAGCTTTGCCAGAACACCGCTACACCTGTCAGTTTACGTCTCCTCTGGCTGCCTTCTGCTACAAAGGTCTTACCTACAGAGCCCACAAACCATCTGGCCCTTTAAGAGACAGCATTTGCTGGGCCTGGTGTATACCGTCGCTGATATGACCAGCTCTATTTCTGTGAAGTGGACAATTGTCTTTGTGGTAGGTTGAAAAGTGTGTCCCAAAAGATAGGTCCAATTCCTAACCACTGCTCTGGAACCTGGAAGTGTGACCTTATTTGGAAAGAGTCTCTGCAGATGTAATTAAGTTGGGATCATCTTGGATTTAGGGTAGGTCCTAAATCACATGGCAGGCGTCCTGAGAAGGGAGAGAGAGACCTGAGACCCATAAAAACACAGGGGAGAAAGCCGCGTAAGGATGGAGGCAGAGATTAGAGCGAGGCGTCCACAAGCCCAGGGAGGCCTGGAGCCAGCAGAAGTGGGCAGGAGCAGGAAGGAGCCTCCCCTGGAGCCCAGGGAGGAAGGGCAGCTCTGCCCACACCTTGATTTTGCACCTCTGGTCTCCAGCACCGTGAGATCAACTTCTGTGGTCTGGGCCACCTGGTCTGTGCTGTGTTGTTACAGCAGTCTCCTGACACCCACATGACTGTGATTCTGAACAGTCTCCTGCAGTCACGATGTCCACATAGAACCTTTGGGTGGAGAACCTTCTGGTCTCCCCAGCGTCATCGGGCTCCCGCCATACCCTGTGCCTCACCTGGAATGGTCATCCACTGGGCTATCGCTGACAGCGCAGTGCTCTGCACCTGCTCCTCTGGGACCACCTGGTCCACTATGCCCACCTGCAGGGCCTCTGCCGGCGGGAAGAGTAGCCCCAGCTGCAGCGCACGCTCGGCTGCCCGGTGCCCGATGACGTTCACCAGGGTGTCTTTGAACCTGGAACGCAGACACCCGCTCACCACGTGGCCCCAGGTGGGTCGGTTCCCTCCAGGACAAGAATGGAGTGTGGCTGCAGCCCCGGGCCTTACCAGAAAGGGGCAACGATGCCCAGCTGGGTCTCGTTGAGTCCTATGCAGTACCTGGGGTTGTCTGCCAGGACCCGGTAGTCACAGGTCAGGGTCATCAGGCAGCCTCCGGCAGGGCAGGCTCCCTGCAGGGAGAGGCCAGACAGGGCTCTTAAGACTCTTAGGTGCTGTTGGTCCCAACCACATTCCAGAGGGCCGGGTCCAAGGATGCCAAGGAGGGCCTGTGCCCTCGATGTGCCCCAACCCCCACAGGGCTCCATACCCACAATGGTCTGGGCTGGGTTGGGTGTGCACCAGGAAATGGATGGGGAAGGAACTGGCCCCTTAGTGCTTGGCAAGGAGGGTCTGAGGCTGGTCCTCAGCCGAGGGTCATTAGTTCTTAGGCAACAGAAAAATCACTTTTTAAAACCGTTCAGTTAGGGGAGCAAGTTGCTTGTCCTCTCAGAGCTTTTACTCAATGCTAAAATGCCACATAAGCATTTAGTCAGAGCTGTCATGCCCCACGGGGGCCCCATTACCACCCCAGCAGCTAGCGCCACCAGAATGTCCTGGGAACCCCACACGCACCCTGTGGTCACTGCAGGCACCCACTGCCCTGCACAGGACCCATCCTGTCTGCATGGCCATGCACCCTTGAGGCTTCTCTCACACCAGCCCTCCCCTCCACCAGGCTCCGGCCCGCACCCAACTTGTCATAGCCACCCCACAGGACACCTGGTTCCCGAGGTTGAGCCCCCACGTTGTCCTCAGCTTCCCCGGCCTTCCTTGGGAAGGGATGGAGTGATGTTTCCAAAATGTGGGTCCGATCACCCACTCACCACACACAGCCTCCACCCAGGCTGGCATCAACCCCAGGCCCTGGTCCCTACCCACTGGCTCTTGTCTGACTAACCCAGGCCAGGCCCCTCACCTGAGGCCCACCTTTTCAACACGCCATGCGGTCTGCAATGGCACTCATCTGTGAACATCTCAGGGTCTCCCCAACCATTCCCTTCCCCTGTGAGAGATTCCAAGGGCAGGACAGTGTCTGCCCCACCCTCCGGGGCTGGCCCAGAAGAGCCAGCGAGGCCACCTGGGAGTGGGGACACTCACATTGATGGCGGAGACCAGCACCAGGTTGGACTGGTAGAATCGCAGCCACAGCTCCTGCACGGCCTTCCAGTACTCAGCATAGTGGGCGGGGCTCTTCCCACACATCTCTTTCAGGTCCAGGCCGGCCGAGAAGACACCCGGGCAGTCCTGCAGGGGGCGCCAGGGCCACGCACCCATCAGAGTCCACCTCCCAGCTGGCATCACAGCAGGAAAACTGAGGAGCCCAAGTGCCCAAGGCACAGCAGGGCCAGGTCATACTCAGGGTGTGGGTGCTGCCCCCATGGAGCCAGGACTAGGCGCTCCAGGGACTCAGCCTAGGCTTCTCCTGGACCCGGCTTCCCTGTACTTTCCAGAACATTCTTCCTTTATCCCGCTTCAAACTGGATAGGAGAGGACAGGCAGGGCCAGGCACCTCCCAGGGACATCAGAGCGCCGGCCCTCTGGCTCCGCACGCCCGGCTCGGGCAGAGGAACCCAGAGGTGCGGTGAAGACTCCTGAGAGTTCAGAGGAGGTGCGTGTTCTGAATCATTCACCCGCAAAGGGCCAAGCAGGCCACGGAGCGCCGTGTAGACCAGAAGTGCTAGGGTGGGAGAAGGATCTGGAAAGTGTGGGTTTCTCAGGAGCTACCAAGGGCGGGCGAGGGGTGAGCACAGGTGGAAGGGACCCTCCCATGGCTAGAGTAGCGGGTGCCAGCACGGGGGCCTCAGACGCCCAGTCAGGGCTACTGGCCAGGGAGGCGGGCTTGGGGAGGGGTGGAAAACCCAACCTGGGGCCCCTGCATGGTCACAGCCCCCTGAGCAAACAACAAAGGTACTTTCCCCGCTGCACGACACGGCACGTTTTCCTCCCGAGGGCCGGATCCCAAGGCTGTGGGTGAACTTGTTCCTGCAGCCAAACCCAGCTCACCCTGATTCACACAAGCAGAGCTGGGCAGATGTTTACCCCACACTGTCCACAGAAAGGACGACAACCACCTAATGTGTGTGAGGAGGAGGGGGCCGGGACAGATGGGATGGCCTCCACATCCTCAGGTCATGTGAAAAAGCCAGGAGCGGTAC